TATATATATATATTAAATTTATATTGTCATAGATTTGCTTTGAACGGTATTTAATTTGTCAAGGGTATCCAAGTACGACCTGCAACCTCTGTTTTCACCTTCTTTCCTTCGAGGTTTTTTTTTTCTTCTGCTTTTTACAATTATAAAAACAATTGATTTATAATAAGCTTAACTTGCGAGACATTTTTTTTTTGTTTTTCATCATATTAATAGAGAAAATATTGTGTCCGGAGTTCGGATGTGAGCTACGTCTAGATAACGGACGTGATACAGGAGGTCCAAACTCCCGCTCTGCCCTGTTGTATCAAGTCCGTTCTGCGTCAATATTGTTTCAAATTAAGGAGTTTTTTCAATTGCACATTAGATTTATGTTAAAAGGAATTTAAAATATAACAAATTGTTAAATTATGAAAAGGAAGGCAGGTATGATTAAATATTAAATTCAAAATTATTTTTCATCTTCAGAGGTCGTCCCACAGGGGAGGGAGTCAAATAAACCTGGTTGGGACTTTGAATTGTTCTTTCGTTTCGTAATCACGCCATGGTTTTCAATAGATGGTAATGCTAAATTCATTTATCTCATTTTCCTTCGTGCTTAAGACGATTGGAAGCTCCACAGTCGTCGCCTGACTTTATGGACCACCAAGCCCTCTCACGTTTACCATTTCTTTCACTCTTCTCATATATAAGAAAGAAAAACCACCTCCCACATCCCAACCCACAGCTTCTCTGCAACACTAGTTTAAGCAGAATAAGAATTTAAGAAGAAGAAGAGGAAGAAGAAGAATAAGCAAAGGGGGAAACAAAAGGTGCCTTTTTTACAGAATTCATTGAGTTTGATCGAACGATCGCCAATTCTTTTTAGTCCAATCATGGCTTTTCCCATATCGGATGAGCTGCTCGGGACCTTTGTGCCCGTTGCTGTTTATTGGATATATTCTGGCATCTATGTGATGCTCGGTGACTTGAACCAGTACAGGCTTCACACCAAGGCTGAAGAAGACAAGAAGAACGTTGTTTCTAAGACAACCGTTGTGAAGGGAGTCCTCGTCCAGCAAGCTTTTCAAATCGCCGTCTCCCTCCTCCTCTTCACGGTATCTATCATCTTCACCTCTAACTCTTGATTAAGCAATTAATTTGTACAAATTAACCCCTACACCTACTTAATTATTGTCTAACTTTTGTTTGATCTATGTATTGATGCAGGTCGTGAGCGGTGAGAGCGGCGCTGTACTGCCTCAGCCTTCTATTCCGGTGATCATCCTCCAGTTCATCGTGGCCATGGTGGTTATGGACACATGGCAATACTTCATGCACCGATTCATGCACGTCAACAAGTTCTTGTACAAACACATCCACTCCAAGCACCACACCCTCGTCGTCCCCTACGCCTTTGGAGCTCTCTACAATCACCCCCTCGAAGGGCTCATCCTTGACACCATTGGAGGAGCCCTCTCCTTCCTCGTTTCAGGGATGACGCCTCGCACCGCCATCTTCTTCTTCTCCTTCGCCACCATCAAGACTGTTGACGACCACTGCGGCCTGTGGCTTCCGGGAAATCTGTTGCATGTTTTCTTCAACAACAACAGTGCGTATCATGACATCCACCATCAGCTATATGGCACCAAATACAACTTCTCTCAGCCATTCTTCATCACTTGGGATAAGATCCTTGGAACTCACATGCCCTACTCGCTTGAGAAGAGAAAGGAGGGAGGATTCGAGGCCCGTCCGATTAAGAAGATTAATTAAGAAGATTAATTGATTCAGACAAATGTTGCAATCTGTATTGAAACAAATATTTGTTTGTAAACTAGCTAGAAATTTTAATTTTTTTTATGACCACAAATTTATTCGGTATTTCTTGTCCCGTATGGATTATTGGAAGAAAGATCAAATTTTGAAGTTATAATGCCATTTGGACCTCCGAAGTGATTAAGCAAAGCGAAGTTATCAATGCATCACCTTTGACTAATTCCCCAAACTTTTTAATTAGAGGAAAATATTTCTTCAAATGACAACATCAATGAAATTTATGTGGGTTGAATTCATTTAAATAAATTTAAAAAAAACTATTATTTTTAGATTTGTAACTCATTTCTGGTTTCATATATTCTACAAGTACATTTCTATAGGTTATATATAGAGGATGTAATTGAGGTGAGGACTTGATGAAAAAATTGTGAGCATTCTCCTCGATGAGATAACTATTACTCCTCTTCTTATACTTTTCTGTTTTTCTGCTAGTTCTTTATGATATCAGAGCAGAGAGCTAATAAGGCTCAACTGATCCTCTCTTAGTATTTGTCGCTGATCAAATGTAGGATCCTTT